AAAATTGTGTGACGTTTGCGCTCTCGCCGGGCTTATCTCCTTCTTGCAGGCCGATTTTAGAGCTTCTCGTGCCTTTTTAACCCCTTCTCAGCCAAAATACATGTTCTGGCCGTTTGCGTAATGTGAAAATGGCACTCTTTCATATCCAGTTAAGTCTTACGTATGGACTAGTAAGCTTCTCGATCAATAATCTTTACTTCGTTCCATGCACAGTGGTCAGCGGCCGTTCTCTAGTCCCTTCCTGTTCCCCTCGGAGGGGAGGGGAGGGGTGAGGATTAGCATGTACGTCATAGGGCTAAGTTCCACCCTCTAACAAACCGCACCCTATTTGGAATAAAAGTAGACATAAGCTTCTCCCTCTATTAACCACGCCTCACCCCAGCCCCTGCAATTTCAATGCGAAGTGGGAGTTTTTCATTACTTGTGCCTGTGATAGTGGCCACAAACATTATCTTACGAGACGTTCATCGAGTAGGAAATAAAATTCATGATAGCTTCCTCGTTGGCAGGCGAGGGTGTTGCGTAAAGAGGAAATAAGTTGTCAGAAATTACCTCTCGTACTGTCAAGGCTTGCGTAAGCTATCACCTTACGTTGGGATTTGGAAAGAGGTGGTTGTGAACCGATGCTTTCGAAAACGAAAGTTTGACAGCGATCGACCGCCCACGTAAAAGAGAGAAGCATTCCTAGGAGACCTTATAATAACAACAAGAAAAAAAACACTATTCATATACTAAAGTTTTAATGAAAATAAAAATATTAAAAAGATCCTAAAACACTAATTCACAAGTTCTCGCCATTATTCACTTTCTAAAATTAGCGCACATGCGCTTGGCTAGCGTTTAAGCGGCAGTCATCAGTGAAATCCCCTTGTGGAATTTTGTGGAAAGATGCCCCGGAGCCCCTCACACGTATGTACCGACCTTAAAATCTCAACGGAAAGCAATGTTCTAATCCAAGTAATAGTAATCTAATGTTCCTCATTCTTTTCTGAGAGCTTCTCGGTTAGGAGTTTGAGAAAGCAGTTACAATCGGCTTCATCCCGCCGTTGGTTCTAAAAACTAGAGGAGTGAAAAATCCAGTTTCAATGTCTAGCACCCTTTGTTGGTACTTCCGCTTTTTCTCCTCCTCCTGCTCCTTAAAGATTGTGGATGTCGCTTTTCCCTGGTTACACTTGGAGCTAACATGCGTTACTCTGACATCGAAAAATGCTGTGACTCCTCGAGACCAAAAGCCCCTTGCCTCCGGACTGGTCACCGCACATCTGAGGTTGAATCGCTCATTATCCAGAGGTTATAGTTGTGGTTCTACTTCAACGCTGGTCCAAACCTTATCAAGAAATGAGGTAAGTAGGTTGCAAACGCCATCGTTTCCCTGCGCCACAAACCCTCCCTTTTTGCAAGACAGGGCATGGCTGACGGCATACTTCTCACCACAAACACACTTGCTTGGTATATCGGATAGGGGCACATTATACCTTAAACGCAGAGAGTCTCTGAATTCTTGTTTATTCAGCACCAAGCCTTGATCAACAAGGGGTACTGCGGTAGGCCACGAGCTCGCACCCTTGTCTCTCGATTGGTTGACTGACCGCAGCAGATCCGAGGGTAGAGTGGAATTAACACTTTCCATTCTCGATTTCACCGACGCAGTTTTCAAAGCTTGATGTTGTCTTTTTGACTCCTCTGTGGAATTCTCGCCTGCAACCTTGAACGTGCCCTGTGCGGTAATAGAATCTATGTGCGATGCTGTTATTGTCGTGGAAGCAGCATAAACCATAAGTCAGGTACACCTAGCCCTCATTGAGCGGGTGTCAAAGTAACAAGCTGACGCAGTTCACTAGGGAGGGGCTCCGTTTGACCGAATAGTGTTGGGAGAAGTAAGTCGTCGATGGCCTCTTGAATAGGGTCAACGTAATGTTCAAACGACTCTATTGTGCGCATGAAATAGGTAAACATGGATTTGTAAGCCTTCGTGATGAGTCAGATGGGAATAGTGTACATTCTTGATACAGAGCTGAATGATTCTATTCAGTTTCTTATAGAATAAACGGAAAAAGGAGCAAGAGGGGCCGGCGATGGCGTCAACTGCCGGGTGGCTTCGATGAAAAAAAAAATACTTATTTAATAAGTGCTTTCAAATAGCAACAATGCTGCACTTGCACTTCCGTCATAAATCGATATCAAAAAAGTCGTTATCGATCGGTAAAATCACTTGATCGATATCGATTTTTATCGATTGACTGACTTCTATACTCAGCTCCAGGATTTCACGGGTTCGCCCAAAAAAAAAAAAAAAAAAAACTGGGCCCTAGTAAGATTCGATTGCGTGATGCGTGACCACAGGGAGCCCGGAAAAAGATAAACATGGCGGGCCTTCGTAATATTTTTTACCTTGTTCTTACAGCTTTCTCTACTCTCGTTTTAATCATCATCGTACGGACTGTGATGTTTTCTAACCAACCGATAGCTGGTGTTCCTTGTAAGCCAAGCGATTTAGATTTTATTCCTGCAGACGATGCTGTCAAAAAGAGATTTCAAACCGCTATCACTTTCGAGACCGTTTCTTACGACGTTGGAATCTACAGCCGTGAAGAACTTTACAAATTTCTTCAGTTTATTCTTAAAGGTGAGCAAGTAACATCTGAAAAAGTTTCCTTGTATGCTGTGTCAAAGCTGTTGTACTGATAGTTGGTAGTGATAAGCCAAGATTTGCAAGATTCAAAGTGTATATATATTTCACGGGTGCGGTTTTGCAGGTTGCGGAAGAAAAACACGGTTTAGCAGAAATTCACATCGTCGCGGGTCATGCGTTTTTACCGTTGGAGTTTAAAGAGGTTTCGATTCCAGAGGCCAGCCTCTACTTTCTCGCTATTTTTTGGGGTCAGGTCGTAGCTCTTTCACGGTCTCATATGAATGGCTCGATACCTTTTGAGAGAACAATAAAACAAACAGCAGAAACAATACCCGTAGCCCTAAAACGATAACAGCTGCTTCACTATGACGACAGATGGAATTAAAAGATTGTGAGAACTGCACTCTTCTGCTCTTTTGTAAGGATCGTGACAAAACAAAAACAAAAACAAAAAAAAAATCGGTAGTGGAGAAAATATAGGTACAATTGGAAGGGGAAGGATGTGGAAAACTGCTACAGTTAAGCTGCTCTCACAGATGCCATAACCATAATCTTTATCTTCAGAATTTTCAGATGTGTTTAGCCATCCTCTAGTGGAGCATAGAGTCATTGCAAACTACAGTTTGCTTGTGTCTGTAAAAGGAAGTAATACGTTCCTAAAGCCTTATCTCATTGCTAGTCACTTAGATGTAGTGCCAGCTACCAATGAATCGTGGGAAGTACCCCCTTTTGAAGGGCATATCCAGGATGGGTACTTCTGGGGTAGAGGAACATTGGATGTCAAAAATGGTGTCATGGTATGTGCATTTACTACAAAGACATTCATTTGCTATCTCAAAGCAAGATGAATGAAATAATGAGGTTGATGGATAATTCTTGCATAATGTAAAATTCTGGTTATAAGTCCCCTGCCCCCTGCCCTTTCTATATGCATACAAAATTGATTCCAGTTATTGCAATTATGAGAAAGCTTCTGGCTGTTCATAGATTTGTGTAGCATCTTGATCTATTAGTGCTTGTTTTTGTTTCTTATTTAACAGCCAATTATTTGGGACACTGCATGGATGCTGTTATGTTGTCAAATGTCGGTTGACAGATCTGAAGTGGGGAAATAATAGAGTGTGGAAAGAAATAAATCTGAGTGCTTGCTGAAACTAATTGAAGTCATTGCATTTGATCATCTTGGATCTTTATTCAGGGTTCTCTGGAAGCTCTTCAGTTTCTTCTCAAGCAGGGTCACCAACCACAACGTAGTTTTTTCTTAGCTTTTGGACATGATGAAGAAGTAAGTGTGTGGTATTGTTAGGAAATTCTTTGAATGATACCACATGATTGTCAGTTGGAGTCACATAGAATAGTGTCAAAAGGTCCTTCTTTGAACCTGGTACTCTTGATCAGGCTAGGCTCTTCAGTTTCTTCTCAATCAGGGTCACCAACCACAACAAGTATTTTAATTAGAGCAGTGCTCTTTCGAGTGTCGTAAAACCAAAACCAAAGTTATCACTCAAGCCAATCACATAGGACACAGACAATCAAATGAACCAATCAAAACTGAAAATTAATGACATGTCGCTGACGCAAAGTGCAGGAAAACAAGTGCAAGTGAGTCACAACTGGTTTTAGCTTTACTTCTAACTGGATGAAAACGTGGTGCAAGTTTTTTAAGCCAGTTATGTAGCGTAGTCAACGCAAAACCAACTACCTTTTGACACTCAAATGAAAACCGCTCTTGCCTAATAAAATCCCCCTGAATGGGATGCTAGTCTATTGCAAAGCTATCTGGGTCCAGCATTTGATAATCACTGGTACTGACCAAGGTATATATTAACTGGGTTAAGTTCAGAGAGGCCATGAGTAAAGTGTCTTACGTGTAAGTACCCAAGAATGCAATGGACAGAATGAACGGTCAGGGCTCGAACCTGGACCACTTGATCTGGAATCCAGGAAAATAACCAATTTAGGCCACCTCCTTCCCTTGCAACATGACTAAGGAATTCAAATTAAATTTCCATTCTAAATGATATCTTTTTTCATCAATGCTTTGGGAGGAACAGGTAACTAGGTATGATTGTAATCACTCATTCTGATTGATTGATTGATACTTTTCCAAAAGGTCCAAGGGATTGATGGAGCTCTGCAAATCGCAACTTATTTAAAATCCCAAGGGGTGCAGTTGGAATTTTTAATTGACGAGGGAACCATGATTGTTAAGGATGCTGTTCCAGGAATGAGGATACCATTTGCTTTGTGAGTAAAATAAGTGGTACTTAAATATACAGTTGCCTCCCCCGCGGATATAGCCCCCCCCCCCCCCACCCCACCCCATCCCAAAGAAAAAGGAAAAAAACCAGTGCAGGGAAGGTGCAATGGCAAGTGCTCTTGCCTGCTACCGATGTGGCCTGTGTTCAATTCCAACCCAGTTCTGTATATGGGTTGAGTTTGTTGTTAGTTCTCGCCTTACTCCAAGGGTTTTTCCCTGGGTTGTCCGGTTTTCCTCCCTCCCCCAAAACCATCATCTCCAAATTCTAATTTGACCAGGTTAGAAGACCCACATGAAAACCAGCTAAAAGGCTGTAGTTGCTTGTTCTCTAAATATTGTAATTTACATTTGTTATTTTTTATTTATAGTTATTATAAAAAGAGGCATTGGCCAGGAATTGTGTGGTTAGCTCTCTCAGCTTAGGCGCACTCGGCTATTCCTTTGCACTTTATTCAAAATCAACTCTCGAAAATTCATGTACACGGCGATTAGCTGTGCCAACTGGTGTGTGGAAAGGTAAAAGTACAACTCATGTAAAAAAAGTTCTGACCAAGGGAAATCTCTATCCTTCTCCTCTCTGCATGAATTGCAGACCTATGCTACAGTTTGTTGTCAGTTTAATGAGGTAATTTGTAGCTTGAGAGGTAAATCTGCATATGAGCCAAGTGGCGCATCAGGCTGGAGCTTATCCTGGTTTCTGTAGCATGAAGCAACTAGGAGTATTTCTACTCCCCCTGGATGGGATGCTAGTCCATTGCAGTGTTACCCCCCGGCATTTAATTTGCCAGTACCCATTTAAACAACTGGGTGGAGGGAGGTATTGTTAGAGTAAAGTGCGTTGCCCAGGAACACAGCACAATGGCCCTTGCTAGGGCTTGAACCTGGAACACTCGATCTGGAGACAAGTACACCGACCATGAGGCCACTGTGATGTGCCTTCCTTGAGAGTTAGAGAGATGATATTTTAATGTTTGACACAGTGTGTTGTCATATTTACAGAATTGGTGTGGCTGAGAAAGGCTACATAATGGCGGAACTTAGTGTGCAGACTTCAGCTGGACATTCATCAATGCCGCCAAGAGAAAGTAGCATTGGAATTCTGTCAAGTGCTGTCACTAAGTGAGTATAAGAAAGGGTGTTTTTGCTGTTAAAAGAAGATTTAAAAGATAAAGTTAGATATAACATGGCTCATTCCCTTTAAGAATGCTGACTGCAACAACTTCAATCCGAATTTCCCTCTCCTTCAACTTACTTTCAATTACAAGGCAAAGGAGAGAGAGAGCCTGGGTTCAAGGTTGTGATAGTAACTGAAAACCTCTGTGCTAAAACATTCCTCATTTTCTTTCTTTTTTTGTTTTTGTTTCGTCTTTTCGTTTTCATTGTTTTATTCATTCGGGTATTCTCATTCCTTCTTTCCGTTGTTCTTTCATTTCCTGGTTCATTATTTCATGCTGTAACATTTCTCTGTCCATCTGTCTGTCCGTTTATCTGTCTGTGTGTCCTTCTGTCCGTCCGCCTGTTGTTCAGTTTGTGTAACTCAATCCTTCATGTTTTGACACTTTCGTACATTTAGTTATTGTCGTAATTCCTTCATGACGTTTCCTTCTGTCATTTGTTCCTGTTTGAATGTTTTTATTTTAATTAATTCCGTGATTGAACTGTATGTACAGCATTCTCTTCATTTGCTTGTCTCTTCTCTATTGACATTGTTTACTTTTCTGTGCATTCAATTGATTAAAATAGATTAGAGGCCTGTCCGATGCCTGTTGTGTTCGATTCCTCAGGCCCAGTGAGGGAAATGTTTGAGAGTTTTGCTCCTCAGGTAATAATCAGAACTGCAATTATCACCAGTTGCTGATATCGCTTTCCACAATGAGTACCAGCTAAACAATATTGCTGATACTAAGAGACAAGGCAGAAAAACGCTCGGAGCATGCATAATTATGCACATTTTATTATAATAATATTATGAACATAATTATGCATGAAAGAGTAAATTATATAATTATGCGTACGTGCGTAAAATTATACAAATCTTATTAATAATCATTGTAACAAGATGTGCATAATTATGCCTGCCGCACTGAACTTAGCTGAAGCCATTTCAAGAAGAGTTTCTTTGAAAAGCAAAATACCGTTAAAGCTTTGCCACAGTTTGTTTCATTGGTCTTCTCTGATGATTGTCATGTCACTCACAAAATAAGTTAGGCTTCCAAAGTAGAAAAAAGTGAAATAAATCTTACGGCATGCATGCTAGCTATTTTGACGATTTCCCAAAACGTACCACAAGAACCAGCGCGGAAAGTCGCAGTTGAATTGATGAATAATGCAAACATGTACCCTGTTAAATCAATAGTTCTTATACTTCCTAGGTACCTGTTTATCTCAGGATTATCGTGGCAAATTTATGGCTCTTCAGCCCACTTTTTGTCAGGTATAATGTTATTTGTTGTTTGTTTATTTATTTAGACCAATTGCGAAAACACGTGTTTTTCCCGCGTCGGCGGTTGGCGCCGGTTGCATGTTTTTACATCGACTTCTGATTGTGTTTTTTTTGGTTTATTTGTGCGTCTTGTGATTGGTTAAATGCGACCAGTTTAATTGTAGTTGAAAAGGAGTCTTAAAGGACTGATCTTTCTTTTTGGGTAACTTCGTCAATATTGCAGCTGGTCAACAGATCGAATACCATTAATTGAGGAAAAGAAAATAACAAATTGTACTCACCTGATAAACGCTCAGTTTAGTGCAACTAAACTATGCCTCTTTGTTGTTGTTTTCTGTTAGAATCCTCGAGATGAAACCTGCAACAAATGCTTTCCTTCGCACTACAACCGCTGTCACTCAATTCAACGCGGGCGTTAAGGTTTGTACTACAAATACTACATCAAACACGAGAAACCGAGTCGTACCACATTTACAAACACCTAGAAGAGAGCTGAAAATACGGCGGGTAACGTAGTATGTTTGCCAACTTCGAGGTGTTTGGAAATGTGGCCAAACGCTGTCTTGAGTGTTTGATATTACCTTATAAATCAAAACTGCAACTGAGGAGAGAACGGAGAAATAAAATCATAATATTTGATGCTACTTAAGATCAGATTTCCAAACACCGTCACGGTCATGATTTCCTATGATTCACCTTAATGAGTTATTAGCGAGTTCGAGAAGCCTTTGGCTGCTGTCAAAATTAAGTCTTCCAAACAGGTCTCTTAGTAGCGTCAAGTCAGTATCACTTCCTTCTTCCTTTTATCGTGTTTGTTTTATTTTAGTTTTTTAGTTTTTCACTTCAAGATCTTTCTTTTTTACATCACCAAACAGGCTAACGTAATCCCTTCCTCTGCAAGAGTGACAGTAAATCATCGGGTACACCCAAGTAATACCCTTGAAGAGGTGAGGAGAACCATCTGCTTTGGAGCTAAATAACGTCCATGTTCAATCTTTGTTATACCACCCAACATATTCCGATTCCTTTAATCCAATCAAAATATCGTGACTCTTTTTCAGGCCTGGACCCCCCCCCCCCGGGGGGGGGGGGG